TTGACAAAAATATTTGTATATCAAAAACACAGTTTTCTTTCGCTTTATACAAACATAAACGCAATTTATACATTTGTGTTTGTATAAAAGTGAGAGAGGCGAGCGAGATCTGGGAGAGTGGCGAGCGAGATTCGCTGGGGGAGAGAGGCGAATGACAACTGTTTGGCAACTCTACCAAAACACCCCCTAAGAGTATACATATATTTTTGTGGTATCATTAATGAATCTTGTTTACACCTTTACTCATTAGTCAATGATACTATAAGAGTATATATATATATATATGTTTTTATATAAGATTTCTTTGTCATACTCTACTCATTAGTCAATGGTACTAAATCACTATATATATATATATATATATATATATATATATATATATATATATATATAATTACAATATCATTACGGTTTCTTGTTCACACCGTATACTCATTGGTAAATGATATTGTAAGAGTATATATTACGAAATGGTATCTCTAATAAAGAAAAAAAGAAAAAAGAAGAAAAGAACAAAGAAATAAATAATAAAACTATTGCCAAATGGTATCTCTAATAAAAGCTAAAATGAAAAAGTATAAAAATAATAATAATAAAATTGTTATCAAATGGTATCTCTATTAAAAGATAGTATGAAAAAAAAAGAATAAGAATAATAAATGAGAAAAGAATAAAAGAATAAAAGAGAAAATAAAAATAATAATAATAAAAAAAATTATTTTATTTCTTAAAAAGGCAAACATATAATATCTCTAACAAATGATAATATGAAAAAAAAATTAGAAAGGAATAAAAGAGAAAATAAAAATAATTAATGATAAAGAACAAAGTAATTTCTTTTATTTTCTTAAAAAGATGAAAACATAGAAAAGGAGAAAAAAATAAAGACAAAGTAAACTAACAAAAAAAAAGTAAAAATAATAAAATTATTACTAAATGGTAATTCTAATATAGAATTAAAAAAGAATTTAAAAAAAAAGAAAACAAAAATAATAAATGAGAAAAGAATAAAAGAATAAAAGAGAAAATAAAAATAATAAATGAGAAAAAACAAAAGAAATATAATGATATGACAAAAAGAATAAATGAGAAAAAAAGAATGCCGATATGAGCGGTAAAAGTCACTCATTTCAATAAAATAATAAGATAATATATTTTCAAAAGACCTCTATATATAAGTATATGGTTCCATTAATATTATAAATTAATAATTTTTTAAAAGTATAAATATATCTAAGACAATTATTATTGAAATATAATTTTATTCTGTTTTGTCTTTTGTTAAAATTCAAATCTAATTGAAGTTCATCTTTAGTTTTTCTTATTGCATCAAAAAATTTCAATGTTGCCATGACTGCAAATCTTTTCGAGTGGATGTGGAATGACCTTTTTTGTACTCACAAAATGCTATACGTATTTGATATGTCATTATTGATTTTGTGACACATTTTAAATGAGAAATCATTAGATATGGTTTCAAGAAATTTCCTATGTTGCTTATATAGTTTATTCTTTAACCATCATATATTGAATGTTTTTAGTAAAGATATAATGATAATATTTAATTATCAAGAAATAATGAACATTATGTATAATGAATTTTTACAATGAATTCATTGATTATTTTTTTACAATGAATTATTTAACAAAAAAAAAATTACAATGAATCATACACATACATTGTACTTTATGTATAATGAATTTTTTTCTATATATAAATTCAATAAATATGATACATAATTTAGTAAGAACTGATTTTGATATATTCAATGTACTTTATGTATAATAAATTTGTTTTTTTTTTATGTGAATTCAATAAATATGATAGGGAAAATGCATAAGTACCCCCCCAGCCTATGCCCAAAATCTCTGAGACACACCTAATCTTTACTAAGGTCCTATTACCCCCTAAAACTTATTTTATATATAATTTTCTACTCCTTTTCGGCCTACGTGGCACTATCTTGTGGGCCCAACGCGTGTTGACAATTTTTTCAAGAATAGTGTCACGTAGGCCGAAAAGGGGTAGAAAATTAATTAAACAATAAGTTCGAGGGGGGGGGGTAATAGGATCTTAGTAAAGGTTAGGCGTGTCTCAGGGATTTTGGGCATAGGCTGGGGGGTACTTATGCATTTTCCCAATATGATATATAAATTAGTAAGATACAATGGTTTTGATTAGGGGTGTTCACGGTTTGGATAAAAACCGATCCAAACCGAAAAACCAAACC